AACACTAACTAAAAAGGAACCGGATAATTTGTGATTGAGTATGTCATGTCAACACAACCAGAGACCTCAGTGAGTGGAACAGGTTTTTTCTCCTTTAGAAAGAGAGAAGAGGGAGTGTATTTCATGATCCTGGCTTGTTTTTCCTGTTGATCACTGTATGCAGTCATGATATTCTTGATCAAATTTGCTTAAATAAAAAATGGTTGAATTCTAGAGGTAAGCCGAACTACTTACAATTTTTCACCAAAATTTTAACAATGCCCAAAATCATTAATTTTCCAACCTTTTAGTGGAGGGAACATTTGCAACTGAGGAAGGAATCAATTTACATCTGCTTTAGTTTTCAGTTGCCCTTTCTGACATAAGTGAACCACATTTAATTGGTCATAAAGGACATTGATGTTATTCCTCTCATAGCATGGTTAGGTTTACTGGTGTGGTTAATCCAGGTAGGAGAGTAAAACTGGCTGTTAAAGGGAAAATGGTGCAGCAAATCCCCTCGTTTGTAAAAAAAACAACAAGGCATTAAATAAGAGATTGTCCTTTTGTTCAATATGAATATTTACATTGAATTATATGGGAAAGGGAAAGATGTCCAGATAAGAGACTATTATATATAACCATATCATTAGCAGACCATCAAACACAGTTTGTTATGAATTAATCTGCATTTTGTTTGTTCTTGCGTATTTGTTTACATCAACCTTTTAGTATACCTATGTATTATGTGCTCTTCAGTCTACTCTAATCAACTCTGCTGATGCTTCATAAGAAAGAAGCCCATGATCATTACCTTAGCTGTTCTATTACCAAATACTGTACAATACATTTATTCTTGAACAATAAATATGTAAAGAACTAGTTCTTCAGTTTAGGAAAGAAACATTTGCCAATTACTTTTCAGAACTCAGTTACTTCTGCAGAGTCTAGAAACCTTTATTGAATACTTTATCAAATTATTACATTTTTGGTAAGACCAACAACCGGTACAGTCTTGTTTTATTTATACATATATACATACAGTCTGTAGGCTACCAAATTCATAACAACTCTAGGCAATTTAAAATTAAAAAAAAGAAAAATGTGTAAAAGAAACGATTTTGTTTATGTATAAAGAAAAAAACTTCCTGGCAATAAGACACAGTGGAATGATCTACCTACAGAGGTTGTGAGTTTTCCATTTCTGGTAGTTTTAAGAAGATGATGAGCCCCTATCTCTCAAGGAGAGTTTAATTGACTGGATGAGCCCTGTGCTCCTTTACAACTCCATAGTTCTATGATAAAAATAATCGACAGTAACATTCATTTGGGCTGAAGGCTCAACAGAATAAAACTGGGTTTAGTGATTTTCTAAATACTGTGAGAGAGGAGTCAATAATGATTTTTTTGTTCTATTTTCCACAGATATACACACATTGGAGACTGACTTCCAATATATTCTCAGAAATTATTGCACAAATTATTTCCTATCTGATATCTTTCACAAATTGTTCCTTCTTTTAAAATTGGATGCTACAAGATAACGTTACCAGATCTGACCTGAAAAACATCCCAAGCAATTATTAGATGACAGCAAAGAGCTGAAGTATTCTGTATCTTAT